CTCCTTCATCAAAGACTCTTATCTCTCCTTTATGCGATCTGCTTTCCATTACCCGGCTTTGCTCAATAATTAAGCTAAAAAACCAGCCTTCCACATTTATCAACGCTCTCCCCGCTCAGGGGACAGAACGGCACTTAACATGCTTGCTGAATTTTAGAGGAGGGAAGCTTCCAGCTTTGAAAGCCTGGGAGATGGAGAACCTCTACCCAAAGCAGAGGCTCCTCGGAGGGGACACCAAGTTTGGGGTTGCCGCTACGGCAGTAGGAAGCATTTGGCTAACAGTCTAGTTTAGAGGTGGCCTACCCGCCCCCCCTGATATGCCCTAACTCATCATACCAGTACTTTTCTAGCTTAGTAACGCGCTGCAGACTACATTTCCCAGCCCTCAAGAGATCATCTACCATCCCAGCTTATTTCCTAGCCTAGAGCCTGTTTTAGGACAGCCCCTCCGAGAAGGGGGGTTGCTTTCGAGGCAGCTGGATGGAAGCTGCTCCCATCGTTCTCAGCATGACCTAGAGTTAATCAAGAGCCCGAGACCCCACTCCCGGGGATCCAATGGTGAGGGATTTCACAAAATAGCCCAGTTCCAAAAAAGAGAAAGCCGAGGAAATTCGGAGAGCCTTGAGAGCAAAGCCATGCCCGGCCCTTCGGTTTCTAACAGCCGCTTCCTATTTTGGCACTTCGGAAGGAAGATGCACACAAAGGTTGTATTGAAGTGTTGCAGTGAACACTTTTTGTTCGATGAAGAAAAAAATACTTGCATTGATTTGCTCCAGGCTACCATAAATATCAGAGATTGTTAAAAAGGAAAAAAAAAAAAATAAAATCCATGAATAGGGGCCAATGTTCACATCAGCTAATGTGGTCCTGGCGCGTTTTGTTGGATTAGGCAATGGATTTGCTCTTCCTGCTCGTGTCTGGGAGGCTGCTAAGCAGCATTATCACCAGGGACCAGCTCCCTTGGCAAAGCCACACAGCCAGGACGCCGCCGACAGCCTCGGCAGGACGCGTCTCCCCTCCCGTGTGGGCATTTTCCACAGCCCAGTTTATTCCCTCTTAAAACCCAGTGCGGGCAGGCAAAGCCAGCTTCTGGAGCATGGGAAGAACACCGTTTTCCCCAGGCTGGAATTTTAAAAAAAGAAAAAAAAAAAAAAGAAATAAAATCAATACAGCACTCCTGTACTGCACAGCTTTCTTTTGTGTTTGTCAGGCGAGCAGAAGGGCTCTTCATCCCCAGTACCGCACTGGCAGAAAACGGGTGAGCTGTAGCTGACAGCAGGGTCTTCCTAGTGACAACTGGAAAGCTGCTGCTGTTCTGCTGCTATTGATCTAAGCAGAATACAAAACACCTGAAGTCAGCAGGGAAAAATAGCTGCAGTTGGAAAAGAAACTGCAGGGGGGGGGTGGAAATAGGGAAGGGGGCGGGGGGGAAAGCAGGTAAGAAGTTCTCCATGCATAAAATTAAAGGACGGGCTTTTTATTGCAGCTATCTTGCCTGCCTACAATGCTGGATCGATGGACAGAGCAGGAATACTGCCATCATTGTTTTTTTGCGAGCTCTCATTTGAGGAGAAACAAAAGGTTTCACTCCCAGTTCTGCCAGTGCCTCACCACCGAGGGCTCCTCTCTCCCACCAGCAGCCAGGAAGCAGCTCTACCTCCCCTCGGCCCAAATTGTCCTCGGGACAAGGATCTTTACCCTCTCCCTGCAGGTATTGCTGCATCCCTCACACCCTGGAGGCACCGAGCTCTCCCCAGAGGAAAGTCTGTCCCCTCCAGGGATGAAGCAGCTCAGAGCACGCTCCCATTTGGGTTTGTCCAAGGGCAGGCCACCATGGCTAAAGCTGGAGCCGAGCCCGGGAGGGATTTGGTTACCTCCCCTTTCTACCCCGGCTCATCCCTGAGCCTGAAAGAAGCAGGCACCCAGCCAGCTCTCCTTCAGGAAGCGGCTTCCTTAGGAACCTTCCCTGTTGTGACAGCTCAAACATTACAGGGACTGCCAGAACCAAACCACTCAAGGAAGAGAGATCCCCCCCCCTCCTCCTCCTCCTCCTCCTCCTCCTCCTCCTCCTCCTCCTCCTCCTCCTCCTCCTCCTCCTCCTCCTCCTCCTCCTCCTCTCCCCCTTCTGACATTGACAACCGAGGCGGCAGCAGGCGACACCGCGTGCGGGAGTCGATTTAAAATGTCACCCAGGCACAGAGAGGCTGATGGAGGACACCGAGGCGTCCTTCCCCCCCGCCCTGGAGGTGATGTTGGGGTGGGTTGCTTTGCAGGGTTGGGTTTGGGTTTTTTTTTTTTGTTGTTGTTGTTGTTCCTTTCCTGTGGTCTGTGCCTGCTGCAATCTGACAGCCTCTAATCGCTCAGCGTGAACCAGAAACGTCACTCTCCTCTGTCCTGATGATGGTGCTACTCACAAGCGCAAGAACATACGCAGGCTCAGCCACCCACCCCACAAAGCATGCCCCTCAGCCGTCTCACCCCTCAGCTTTAACCTTCAGGTCTCTTCTGCTTCCCTGTCACTTGAAAGCCACTGTTTCCTTCTCTCTCCCTCTCCAATTGACAAGAGTCGAATCCACAGGGCAACTTTTATGTTTAAAGGGAAAGCCACCAGTTTCTCAGGGACACGGGGCACAAGGTGGAAGAGCTCCAAGAGCAGGTCAGGTTGATTTCTCAGCTAGGAAATGCACACAAAAAGATCCACCTTCCCTCCTCGGCAGCCCCGGAGGGGTTCCCCATCAGCCTCACCTCCTGCAGCAGCAAAGCCTGAACAAGCTACGAGGAGCACAACACGCAGAGGACGGAATATTCCTCAGCGCAGCAACAGCAGGCTGTTTTCTGACATCCTGCTCCCATTTCGCCCAGAGACAGGAGCCATCTCCAGCCCTTTGCAGACTTGTTCCTGGCACTGCCAACGGTGACATCAGAGACAAGAGAACTCATCAGCAGGGCTGCCATCATTCCTCTCCCTCCTCAACCCAATTCCCTTACCCAAATTACAAATAAAACTCATTTTCTGGGTCCTTCTAGCCATTTCCGCCCACGATTCAATCCCTCGGCTTCCCCTTCCAGGCTTCCTCTTTGTCCAACCATTCAGTCCCAAGACCTGACCTAATTAGTTGATTACCAATTCCAGCTGTGGATGCGCATGGCTTTGTTAGAGCAGAGCTGCCTTTTAAAGCAATCATTCCTATCAGAGAGGATTCAAAACGAAGAGGCCTCAAAAGGCCTGCAGCTGAAAGGTGTCCAACGGGAATTTTGAAGAGAAGAGTTCGAATGGATTCTGAAAATAGCAGACTGGTTTTTCCAAGTCTTACTTAAGGCCTGGCGTTCTGCAGCTTGGAGGGCAGGAAAGTATTTTGGGAGGTTTTTGCAGCAAGGAGCTCAGAGGAGAAAGTGAGTTTGTGATATCCTTCAGCAAAGGGCTCACCTCTGGGCCTAAATGTTGGTGTCCTACACACCGCGCTGAGTGCAAGACACTTTTAAGGCAATAAGTGCGCTGTTTCTGACAGCAGAAACATCTGTGAAGATCAGTCAGTGACTCAGGCAGGTGACCGTGGGGCTGCCCCACAGCTGAGGCCACCAGGGCTCTGCTTCTCAGGACAAGAGGCTATTTAAAAAGAGTTAAAAGGCAAAGATGGGCTAGTTTTCCCTATTCAGCTTTTCACCCCCTTGCTCAACTCTAACTCTTGGACTCAGCTGGGACTCAAAGAGGTTTTTATCAATTTTACCCCCCACCCTGACAAAACCTGAAGAAACAAACTCCAACACAGCACCATTCCTCCTTCTGTTCACACTTCTCTCTGCCCCAGGCAACCTGCTCATCCTCACCCCAACATCTGCAGCCTTAGCTCTAAACCAAGAGGTGGGCTCTGCTCCACCAGCAGACAGATCGGAGCTCCCTCCACACCTGGAGGAACCACCATCAGCACTTCACCCAGGGGCCACCACAGCTTAGAGCCACGTTCCAGGCTGCCCAGTCCCCTTCCCACACAGGTTTTACTGGAGCCTCCAGTCTCCAGGAAGCAGCACTGTTGAACAGACAACATCCAGCCCGACCAGGCCACCCTCCGCCCACCCTTGTCCACCTCCACAGAGGAGAAAGGTAGAACAAAGCCAGAACAATCCCCCAAACAAAATGACACCAAGAAAGAACTAGAACAAAGAATTGTTTAATTGCTTAACCCTTTCTCTCCCAGGGACCAGAGAAACAAGTTTTCTGCTCCTTCTAACAGAGGGCAGTAAGGCTTGTGTGTTACTGCTACGACTGCAGGGGCAAAGTTTACGAGATGATCATCTGAAGTACTTGAAAAATCGAGAAGCAATGGTCATTGTGACACTAAGAGAATCCTAAGAGTCTCCTAAAGGAGAGCCCATTGCTAGAATACAAAAATAAAGGAGGCGTCCCTGCAGATCCCAGGCTGGAAAGAGTTAACCAGAAAGAGCAGGAAGAAGCTTTCCCAAAGAGGGGGTTGAAGTAAACAGCAGAGGTCAATAAAGCAACATCTTCTCCCTACTTCCCCAGCATGTTGGTTTTTTTTTCCTTCACCAATAAATATAAATTCCTCATTAACAAGTGACAAAGCAGGTAATCTGCCCACCACAAGGGGAAAAGGGGTTAGAGGCAGAAAGATTTTTTTCTCTCCCCTTCTCTCCCATTATTATTTATCTTTTTTTTTTTTTTTTTTTAACCAAAGCAGCCATTAAAAAAAGCAATCCACTGCAGAGGCAGGGAATCTTGTAGCTTTCTCACTGCAACTGGCAGGTAAAAGAGCTGCACTGTCTCAGAAGGGTAAAAACAACAAAAAATAGCTGCCACAGCAAAAGGTGAATGGGGAGGGAGAGGTCTGTTCTTTTCAGAGCTTTCCATCTCAGTCTCTCAGTTTAAAAATCAAAGTCTGCAGACATTGTCTACTGAAAGCTGGAAAAAAAAAAAGTTTGAGTGGGAGGAGAAGGGGAAAAAAAAAAAAAAAAAGAGGATGCGTCTAGTAGAAAAGCCTTAAGCAAAAAAAGAAAAGGCCAGACCGTGTCAAAAAGCCACCCAAGTGAGAAGAATTTTCTGTTGCCTCTGGGTTTTGAAGAGCATGAAGTGTCAGAGAACCCCTGGGGTGGGGGAGCTCGTACCCAAGGAAAAAGGGAAACTGAGGAAGCAGTTCCAGCCACCGCGGGGGCAAAAGGAGCCAACGTGCCTTCGGTGGCCAAATGACAATCTGTCCCGGGAGAGCAGGAGAAGAGAGAGGGCGAGTCTGCCAGGGCAGCTCAGCGGAGCACAGGGGCAGCCCCTCGTTTCTGGGTGCTGGGGGACACGCTCCCAGCAGAAGGGGGTTCACCCACGCGTGAAAGAGCAGCTGGACATCGTGGAGGGGCAGAGGTGAGGTCCCAGGGAGCTCCGCTGCCATCGCAAGGGGGGCGCGGGGGACGTCTCTACGCGGGGAACTGTGTCCTTGGAGAGACGCTGCCGGCTCTGAGCCTCTGTGACCTCTCTCTCCCTCCTGCACAAGGCTCACTCATCTCGGAGAGACTGTTCTGGAAGGGAGAGGAAGCCAGTTACCTTGATCAGCCAGCACTGCGCAGTCTCCCTCATCAACGCCTGGCAGCCAGAGAAGGGAAAGGGAGGCCTCTCATCTTTCCACGGCAGGAAGAGGAAGACCAGGGATCGCAACACATGGAAGAACAGCCCTAAATGCAGCAGACACACGTGCACACACGCTCCCAGACACACACTGCACACCCCTGGGACCAAGGTTTAGCATGTTTAGACCTTCAGCAAGTAAGAGATACGAGACAGCGCGGAGCGGTTTAGATCTCCAGGGGCTCTTTGGTCTTAGTTGATAGTCCTAGAAAAAAAAAAACAAACCAACCTCTTCGGATTCGGTTGTAGCACAGCTGTGTAAGATCTACTTGATGTTTAGTGTTTGGCAACCATGAGAGGGGAGAAGGGGACTGCATGTCACAGGAGAGGGGGAGGAATGGACGTACAGTGCTGCGTTTCTAGGGGTACTCCTGGCCCTACAGCCAGAGCCAACGGGTGGAGAATGGGGAAGAGGAAGGAGGGTTCCTGAGAGGACCACTAATCCATCACCAGATGTTACACCACCAATGAGGAGGCCCACCTTGGCCGAGACAGAGCAGCTGACTGCACCAAAACGCTACTGTTTAAAAGCTCCAAACTTCAGTGGCAACACGTACACGGTGGGAACGTTCTCAGCTCCAGGAGGTGACATGGAGAGGAGAAGGTGAATACAGCTACACATATTCTGGGCAATGGAGAGAGAAGTTCTGAAAGAGTGCTGTTACCAGACCTTTCCCTCTGTAGCTTTAGCTACCCGAGTCCTAGGCCTCTGATCAAGCCTGCTCCATTGCTGGCACCTTTCTCCATGGGTCCATAGACCACAGAAGAAAGAATCTGAGCTGGGCAAGCACATCCTGCCCTGTTGAACCACATATACTCCGTGCCTTCACCGATTCATCAACTAACACATGCCCAGGGACAAGACAGGCAATATCCAGTCCTTAATACAACACAGCCACGCCTGGTGACAACATGTTAAGAGATGGAAGCCAGAAGAAAGATGTCATGGGACAAACCAGGTGTTTCATGGCCAACAACTCTAAACCAGGGGCCTCTAAGACAGGCTGGGGGAACAAAAGCAGAGTCAAGCTTTCAAGACCAATATCACTGCAGTAAATTCATTCCATAACCCCTGCCCTAGGTTTGTATTTTATTCAGGAATTTAACATCCCCTCTGCAAATGCACAAATGCAGGCGACGTCCCCTCTACCAGATCATACAGCAGCTCTGGGGAAAAAATTAAAAAAAAAAAATAAAAAAATCACCAGCTGAACACTGCTTACAGACAATTCAAAGACCCCTGGTTGGGACTAAATTCCACTAAAGGCAAACCCCAGACTGCACTGCCATGCTGCTCAGTAGCGTGATGGGAGAAGGAGGAGGTGGTGGCGATGGTTTTTTAAAGAGACGGCCGCTCCTGCCCCTGCCAGCTTGTCCTACTCTGTGCATAGTGCGAAACAGTGCAGTCATTCATCAGAGAAAGTTCAGGACCAAGGAAACTAGGTTCCCTTTACAGCCAAACAATGAGAGGAAGGAGAGGCGGTTCTGTTTTAGCTGGGCCGGCACTGGACTTGCCCCTCTGAGCTGTCTTCATCGTCTGAGCCTCCAGCCCCACCACTGGTCAGTCCTGTGATCCGGTACCCCATGTTGAGCAACATCACCTCCAGCGGGTCTGCGTTCATCCGTCTCTGGTTCGCTTGGGAAGCACCTTCCATGTCTACTACCACACGGCCATTGAGGGTCTCACTCTGCAAGACAAGAAGGGAGAGGACTCAGCAAGGCAGAGCTAGCACCAAAGAGGGGCTGTTACTGCTGCTGCAACTCAGAATCACAGAATCTTCTAGGTTGGAAGGGACCTTAAAGATCATCTTGGCCAACCGTCAACCTAACTGACAAAAATAGACACCCACACAACAAACAAGGAGCATCATCACTAAACCAGACCTCCCAGCACTACATCAACCCCTCTTTTGAACACCTCCAGGGATGGGGCCTCCACCACCTCCCTGGGCAGCCCATTCCAATGGCTGAGAACCCTTTCAGGGAAAAAATTTTTCCTAATATCCAGCCTGAACCTCCCCTGGTGCAACTTGAGGCCATTTCCTCTCGTCCTGTTGCCTGGGACTTGAGAGAAGAGACCGACCCCCACCTCTCTACACCCTCCTTTCAGGGAGTTGGAGAGAGCAATAAGGTCTCCCCTCAGCCTCCTCTTCTCCAGGCTGAACACCTCCAGCTCCCTCAGCCTCTCCTCATAAGACTTGTGCTCCAGACCCCTCACCAGCTTTGTCGCCCTTCTCTGGACCCGCTCCAGCACCTCAATGTCTTTTTTATGGTAGGGGGCCCAAAACTGGACACAGTACTCAAACTCCCAAGAGATCCCAGAAGGAAAGACCGGGGTGTGTGTGTGTGTGTGACATCTCAAGACAACAAGACAGTCTTCTCCTGAGGCTCTTACCTCTGGCCGAGGGTTCCACAGTCGTACAACTGGGTCAATGCCACTGGTGGCCAGGAAGCAGTAACTGGGATGAGGCTGGAGACAGTTCACAATCGACTCGTCTCCCTGCAGCACTCTAACGAGGTTGGTGGTTTCTTTCTCCCAGATGAAGAAGGAGCCGTCGTCTGACCCACTGACTATGTACTGTGCATTGCTAGGGTGAGAGGAGCAGAGGCTGGAGATGACAGCGCAGAGCCAAAGCTAGTCTCTAGCAGACACAAAAACCTCAGTTGGCATCTAAAATCAGCGAGCTGCCACCCCTCACGCTTACAGATCCAGATATAGCTTTCTCTGGTGGCTCCCTCCATCCCCAGGATTCATGTTTTCAATACCAACTGGCTTTTTCTGAACTGCTAGCCCAACTGGCTCCTCTGTGGATCTGCTACTGAACCAGCTATTCATGCAGCCACACAAGGAGGAGGGTTTCTGTCATCTTTTTCAACCCTGCAAACTATTGTCAGCCATCATTTTATGAGCAGTCACATGGGGCTACGCGTGAGGCTTTATCCGACGGAAGAGAGCATTCTGCTGCTGCTCACGCTCCTGTCCTGCATCCCTATTACGCTCTGCCAACGTACCTGCCAAAGAAATTGGCCTCTTTGATGTCTGTAGTAGTGTTACAGTGGCCACAATATCGGAATTTGTAGTCGTAGCTGCGCTCCCTCAGCACCATCTCATCCTCTGAGATGGAATCCTTGCGGCCCGTGGCTCGCAGCCGGATGGGGCCACCTCCTTTCTTGTCTTCAGCTGGAAGGACAACAGATTTCCCTCATCACAATTCGGGGAGGAACACGTTCTAAGCCAACAGCACTCTAGGAGATCCCAAGAGCTTTAGAGAAGAGCTAAGGACAATTCCAGCAAGGAGCAGGGCTTAGAGCACAAGCTTCCTTCCAGATTATCTCCTGGTCCATCAGACTCCTTTTATCATCCTCTCGCTCAAGAGCAAACCAGGACCAGGTGCGAGGAAAGGACGGGCTCAGGCCAGTATTTGTGCACAGCAACAATCAATCTCTCTCAGAAGTTGGAGCTTTACTTCAGAGGGGCAGTTTAAGGAGAAAAAAACCCCTTGTCCGATCATTAGATTTGAGTATAACCTTGAAGAACCACACTGAAGAAGACGGGCACTCACCGTTATCGCTCTTGGAGAAGAGGGCTGCATTGATGTCTCTGTCTAGTGCGTCGCAGGCGCTGCTGTGTGCTTGTTCTGGGAACTTCCCTTTAAAGTCATCCAGACACTCCAGCGCTTCTGCCACGTACTTGAGTTCAAAGAGACAGCGGGCAAGACGGAAATGGGCCTTCAGGTGGCATGGATTCAAGGAGATGGCCTTCAAGCAGTCTCTTAAAGCATCGTAATGGTCCCCATCCCTGAAGAAAAGGGAGGTTTGGATTAGGGAACCGAAACAGAAACAGCGTGCGTTTTCCACTGCCATTTCCTAGCCTTGTCTCCCTCTCAAACGTGCTGTTTCCAGCTCTCTCTGTGCAAGCAGACACCCCACAAGCTCACGTACTAACAGCATTTGCTGTTTCCCCAGGGGCACCATCTGACCAAGCCCAGCTTCTCCACCGCACCTCCCCACACACATCCAGGCAACCCTGTAACACCACCAGGCAAGGGAAAGCCCAGCAAGTCTTGACCTGCCATTTTAAATCCGCCAGAGCTCGCCGATAGAACACATTTAGGGAAGTCCTTTGAAGATGGAGGATGCACAAACCCTCTGGCCAAGCAGGCAGACACAAGGCCTCTCCTGCGAGGCGAGCGGGGCCTCGGCAGAGCACGGCGGCTCACGCGTGCCCCTTTGTGGACGCACAGCGTGGCAGCACGTCTCCCTTGCCCACAGCCACTTGTAGCCCTCAAGAAGGAGCTACAGAACCACATTTTCCTAACCCTGATGGAGAAACATCAAAAGCAGCAGGTTTTTCCCCACCTTTATAAGAAAAACCTTGACGTTTTAGAAATAAGCGTTATAGCAGACTGGTATCACAATGGGTATTTATATCCTGTTTGCAGTTACTGGAGACTATGCTTGATCCCTGGAAGTGTTCAAGGCCAAGCTGGATGGGGCCTTGAGCAACCTGCTCTAGTGGGAGGTGTCCCTGCCCAGGGCAGGGGGGTTGGAACTTGATGATCTTTGAGGTCCCTTCCAACCCAAACCATTCTATGATTTCCCAAAGCTCCATGGCTGTAGGAATAAAAAAGCCTCAGCTTGTGCTCTGGAAGCAGGAGGCTTCCACGCTGGTGTTTGGTTCAAAGAGAGAGAGGCTGAGAAGTCAGCCAGGGCTGAGATGCCTGGTGTACCAGCATTGAGCTCAAACTCTTCAGAGGCACCACAATCTGCCTTAAGAGAGTGCCAAGTCTCCCTATAGATGGCTAATAATGATAATATTAACTTTTCCCACCTGTAAAGAGACCAAAGTCTGAAACAGACCCGAGGGGAATGGGGTGAACTACCCTGTACCACCTACAAGACAACTTTAAATCACGTGGAGCCTTTGTCAGGGTGCTCTTGTGTCTCTACTCATTAAAGGGAGCTCCAAATCTTTGGGTTATGTGCCAAGCAGAGCTTAATCAGCGCCACAAGCAGATACTGGCCACGTATTGCACCTCACTAGCACACAGAAGGTGGAGTGCCTTGTCCACAAGATCTGCAGCAGAAACAAGGTTCCTTGAGGGCTGTCTTTGCAGCACCACGTGTTAATCCCAGAGGCTGGATGCACAGCATCAGGCCACTTTTATTCAAAGAAAGGGGGAATGCAAGTTACCTGTTACGATAACAGACGGGTGCCTCGCACTTTCAGAGCTGATCAGGCTATTAGCTGCCTCAAAAATCCTTCAACCTCCACTACCAGTGTCAGACAGCCCAACAGACTGGTGTGAAAAGGGACACGTGGAGCTGTAAAGCAGGCACAGACTTCTCCCACTGTTACAGGTTTGACTCAGCTTGTGCAAAAACCCTCTAACTAGAAATCAGCTAAGAACTGCCAACATATAGACTGCTAAAAGTGATCTGGAGCGCGATGCGATTGGTTCTTACGAGCAGATTTGAGAAGGACAGCCCTAGAAGTGCTGCAGAGGATGAGGAGCACGGAAGGGAGATGAGCGAGGGGAGGTTAGGAAATTACAGACCTTTCTTTTTTCTAGATCTCTCCATTATTCAAAGAACGAGGCCAAAGCAAGACCTGCAGCGTTCTGCAGGTTGGCCAAATGTGAAGGGCACCTTAGAGCCACACAGTAGGTCACCATCCAACTGTGTCACCCTTCTTCTCGGTGACCTCCCCTCCACCTTCTGCCATACACCAGTACCTGTTCCTACCAGAGAAGTGCCCTGTCTTTTCTGCACCTGAGAAACATCAGTTTAGTACTATTTAAATTCTAATCATTGCACACCACACAAACCCATGGTGTGGATATTTTCACGTCTTCCTGCTACCAAAAACTGTCGCAGAGCATTAGGTGACACACAACCACCAACATCCTTTGGGGAAAAACCATTCCTATAAGAAAAACGCCATTCATGAGATCACCCTCAGCTTCTGCCTTCCCTTCCTTAATCACAAACTATTGTTCTTCTCCCTCTGAACGCTGAGGTCTTTTTAAAGGCAGCTCCCAAATCTCTCCTATTGCAAAACAGCCAGTAGGCCAGTCACCAACAGTCACAACAACCGCTGGCTGCTCTTTATCTTGGCAAGAAGACGGGGAGAATTCATACTGTGGATTTCAGCAGGGAGAGGAGAAGGATATCCTCACAAAAGCAAATGTAGATGAAGGACCACAGCTATTTTAAATATGCTAATGGCAAGTCATGCTACTCAGTCTTACTCTGCTCAAGGGGACAGATACTAAAATAACTCGGCTGTATCTTGCAGATGCAGCCCTGGCTATTGGTCAGAGAAGACATTACCTACCACAGAGGAGAACAGCATCTTTTCCAACAATTAAGACAGAACTTCCCCCAGCCACCAAGGCACCAGCTGCCACCTCCCCAGGTCCCTCAGAGAGGTTTGTTTCCAGGCAAGGGGAGTGTGGAGGAGCTGGGGGAGCAGGGGAGCCACCAGGTCACCTCCAACTATCTGCAGTACAATTTATTGGGATAAAGCAGCAACCAAAGCCACTCCAGGAGGTCCTGCAACAGTCTTCTCTCCCAAGATAGGAAGTTCTCAAGCATAGTAACCATTACCTCATCTGTTGACAAGCAGATTGAGAGCCATACTCTAATGCAGATCAGAACCCTCTAAAGAAACACAAACACCCTTGGAGACACTCGTAATGCTGTTGCTCACAAGTGGATTTTTTTGGTTTCTTTTTAAACAAGAAAGGAACAGAACATTACTCAATGTGCCAGTAGGCAAAAAGATGAGCTGCTGCCAGCTGTGCTTGCCCCTGCAGTATCTGTGGCTGCAATTTCTCCAACACACACTGTTGTGCACCCCCTTGTCCCGTGCCAGAGGTGGGACCCACTTTACAGCTTGATCTAACGACCCCAACCCCGCACGGGGAGCCCAGGTGCTTCAGAGTGGACAACAAGGACAGAATCACAGAATCTTCTAGGTTGGAAGGGACCTTAAAGATCATCTTGGCCAACCGTCAACCTAACTGACAAAAATAGACACCCACACAACAAACAAGGAGCATCATCACTAAACCAGACCTCCCAGCACTACATCAACCCCTCTTTTGAACACCTCCAGGGATGGTGCCTCAACCACCTCCCTGGGCAGCCCATTCCAATGGCTGAGAACCCTTTCCGTGAAAAAATTTTTCCTAATATCCAGCCTGAACCTCCCCTGGGGCAACTTGAGGCCGTTTCCTCTCGTCCTGTTGCCTGGGACTTGAGAAAAAAGACCGACCCCCACCTCTCTACACCCTCTTTTCAGGGAGTTGTAGAGAGCAATAAGGTCTCCCCTCAGCCTCCTTTTCTCCAGGCTGAACAGCTCCCTCAGCCTCTCCTCACAAGACTTATTCTCCAGACCCCTCACCATCTTTGTCACCCTTCTCTGGACCCGCTCCAGCCCCTCGATGTCTTTTTTATGGTAGGGGGCCCAAAACTGGACACAGTACTCAAGGTGAGGCCTCACCAGTGCCCAGTACAGGGGGACCATCACCTCTCGGGCCCTACTCCCCACGCTGTTCCTGATACAGGCCAGGATGCTGTTGGCTTTCTTGGCCACCTGGGCACACTGCTGGCTCATGTTCAGCCGACAGTCGACCAACAGGACAACGTGGTTCTCAGAAATCAGGCACCAGCACTGCCTGTGATGCTCAATCCTCTGATATTCTCCTCTTCCTTACCATTTGCGCTTCATGTAGGCCGCGGCCCTGTTTCCGTACAGCATGGCGTTGTTGGGGGCTTTCTGCACTGCTTTGCTGTACAGCTGGATGGCTTGAGTCCACAGCTGGCAAGCGAAGGCCTCGTTGGCTTGCTGCTTGATTCGCTCCAGATATGGAGGTAACTCCACCTGGGGGCTGAAGGGGAAGAAGAAAGGAGCAGAGGTAAGTCCCAAACGCTCTGTTTACTTCAGTTAAATGGCTGCAGTGTTTTGTTCTACCTTAGCAAGTCCCAGCAAACCAAAAGCTTCAGAAAAAAAGAGGTCTTCAGAAGAGACCGTGTACCTGAAAAACCTGAATTTAGGAGGAATGTTTCTTTTTGACCATCATTTGATTGTTTCTATTTTTTCTTTCTATACAGACATCCACTCAAAATTGACCGGTGTGTATTTTAAACATCTAATGCCTCAGACTTCATCAATTCCTCTTTGCTTTGACCGCATTAAAAAACCCCAAACATTTCCAATCCTCTTTTAGGATTGGAAACAGAACGGAAATTCAGAAGGAAAGCAAACACCCGAGCTCACTGGGCTGCACAAGGCCCACGCTCAGGCAACCCAAAATTCCAGCCACATCTCTGCTGCCGTGGTGGAGGGGCCATCTAGAGGAAACAAGCTGAAAACATTCACCAAAGTGACTTTGGTGGAACCTAGACTACCCATATATGGTATTAAGCAACTGTGTCTTTGACTTTTCACCATGTGTCATCAGCTGGAAGAAAACCAGTCAGCAAGATGCGCTTCCAGTCTGCTTCTGCTTCACCCCAACTGCATTTCGTGCTTAAAGAAAGCAAGCAGCAGGAAGTATGGAAGAGGGGTCTCCATCCGTTCCTGGCTCACGAGTAATGACTCCAGTGGCATTGCTGTAAAGCAATTTTGGTCACTTTGGTTCAGTTTGTAGCAGGCAGATGCCCAGAAAGATGCCAAAGGGAAGCCAAGGCTCCTCTCCCATTTACCAAGACACAGTTCCTGCAGGCCAGGAAGTACCAACCACTCAGAACAGCTCAGAACACCTCGCTTCCAGGCCTGAAAAGTCATTTCTAAGTTTTGTCTGCAGCAGTTTGTCGTAAGAGGAGAAAAATCCTCATGGACAACATATCTCCCTGGACGCTCTTGTGTGATCTGACTCCTGTTCATTGACGACACACCAGAAGCAAATACAGCTCCTAGGACAGAGGCTACTTGATAACCAAGACAACACACCAAATGGATTTGCATTTCACACCTTGTTTAGCAGCACCTAAGCCTGGCAAGAGGAAAAGAAGATGAAGAAAGCCCTAGGGTTTTCCTATAGGTCGATCTGTGCCCTTACCTCACGTGTGCTCTGCCTTCGGACAAGCGGAAGCCGTTGCTGTGGAGGTGGATGCCATTCGACACTCCATTGGTAGAGGTTTTTCCATTCTGCACTTCTGAAGGTTAGGAAAAAAATAAATTACAGCCATGCTAAGTACCAATGCAGATTACACAAACTAATAGCTGAAGCTTCAGGGTTTTATTTTACGGCAGAGTCAAGCCAATGCCACAGCCCTATTCAGAGCAGAAATAAAACTTTTGTGATTCCATATGCCCCCCTGTCCTCCAGGGACTGCATTTGATTTGCCTTCTTATATATAAATTACAAAATCTCTTCAGTACCCTTCGCAATACAACCTAGAACAGAAAACTACACACACGTAGAACTAAGTATACACATACAAAGAGAGGGCAGCTGGAACTGCCTTCAGACTGGGACCAGGCCATAACCAGAGGACCTGACTGATCACCAGAAACCTGACAATTGAAACTGCAGAAGTATCTAGTACTGTTAGCAACTTTGCATTTTAGATTCACTCGGATAAAGAATAAATACCTCACATAAAGAGCTAAGTTGTTGAACATTTAATAGGATGATGAGGGGAACCACTGGAGGAATCCAATAAAGGAATTCCAGATGCTTTTTTTCCCCTTTCTTTCTTTTCTTACCCTGCTGCTCAAGGAGCGGTTACAAGCTGAAGTAATCCTCTGAAGGTCACGCAGGCACATTATCTGCCATTTCTATAGAAATATTCAGCTTCAAGCTTTACAAACTGCATTTATGTTGCAGTTGGGAGTGTTCCTGCAGCAGGCACATTATCTGCCATTTCTATAGAAAATATTCAGCTTCAAGCTTTACAAACAGCATTTATGTTGCAGCTGGGAGTGTTCCTGTGGCCACTTCACAGGTTGGGAAACCAGGGACACTATCCTGCTCATGGATGTCAGTGCACAGAGACACGCACACACACAAAATTCATCCATGGTATTGATATTGCCTCTTCTCAGCCTTTGCCTGAACTTTCTGTGCCCAACAAGGTGCAGTGTGTGCTGCAGCCACGGCATCATGACCCTGTTCAAATGTTGTCCTGCCATTTAAAGCATGACCTCCCCAGATCATGGAATCACAGAATGGTTTGGGTTGGAAAGGACCTTAAAGCCCATCCAGTGCCACCCTCTGCCCTGGGCAGGGACACCTCCCACCACACCAGGTTGCTCCAAGCCCCCTCCAACCTGCCCTTGAACCCCTCCAGGGATGGGGCAGCCACAGCTTCTTGGGGCAACCTGGGCCAGGCTCTCACCACTCTCACAGCAAATAAGTTCTTCCCAATATCTAATCCAAATCTATCCTCCCTCTTCCAGTTTAAACCCGTTCCCCCTCCTCCTAGGGCTCCCCTCCCTGATCACGAGTCCCTCCCCAGCTTTCCTGGAGCCCCTTGAGGGACAGGAAGGGGCTCTAAGGTCTCTCTGGAGCCTTCTCTTCTCCAGGCTGAACCCCCCCAACTCTCTCAGCCTGTCCTCACAGTGAAAGGGCTCCAGCCCTCCCAGCATCTCCATGGCCTCCTCAGACCCTGCTCCAACAACTCCATGTCCTTCCTGTGCTGAGGACTCCAGAGCTGGACACAGAGCTCCAAGTGGAGTCTCACCAGAGCGGAGCAGGGAGGCAGAATCACCTCCCTTGACCTGCTGGCCACGCTTGTTTTGATGTAGCCCAGATAGCACAGTACAGATGAGCCACATGCCTTCCAGACAGAAGAGAAAGGCAGGCAGGGCATAGATCTGCCACCAGGATGTGAGTGTTAGATGAAGGCCCGAGGCACGCTGAGTACACAGATCAAACTCTGCCAGAGCCCTCCCAGAACAGGGAACGGGCCGAGCAGGGAACACTCCCTGATAAGAGTCAGCCTCTGCCCGGGGAATAACGCCGCAGCCATTCGTACTGTCTGCAGTATCTGTGTATGAACAGGCCCCGAAAGAAACAGGGCCAGGAATAAAAAAGCTTTTGGATTTACTTCCTTGTCAAATAAATGACTTTTTGATTCAACTATCTCACCACCAGAAGGGATATTAGTGCCAGGCCAGATTCTTAGACCAGGGAAGAGATTGTTCTGTCTCCTTCCTAATGGGTGTACACAGGGATAACAGACGTAGTCTACATTTTACTAATAAGTTTAAAAAAAATAAAAAACATATACCACTTCCACGCCTGTCCCAAAAGTTTTCCCCCTTAGTTGAGGGCAGGATACCAAGACCTCAACCACTCTACACAGTCTACATTATCCTTTCTGCACAGATTTAAACATTTTCCTTAGCTCACACAGGCATACACCTCTCAACAGCTCACTTCTCCCTCCAAGATACATGTTTTTTCACTCTCTAGAAGAGTTTCAGAACCTGGGGTATGAACTGCACACTGCAGAAACAGCCCAGCAACAGCCATGCCCTACTTCAGTTTCCTGGTTCCTGCCCAAATAGGGCTGCACCCTGAAAAGAGCTGTGTAGTACAAGATTTCGAGGTAACGGGCACAAACTTGAATATAAGAAGTTCCACCTAAACATGAGGAGGAACTTCTTTGAGGGTGGCAGAGCCCTGGAAGAGGCTGCCCAGAGAGGTGGCGGAGTCTCCTTCTCTGGAGACATTCAAAACCTGTTCCTGTGCAACCTGCTCTGGGTGGAACTGCTTTGGCAGGGGGTTAGACTAGATGATCTCCAGAGGTCTCTTCCAACCCCACATCATTCTGTGACTCTGATTCCACGATTTCACTCTGCCTTCCACTCACTTTCATGACAGCATCATACTCACCCCCTGAAGTATGGCACTTCTTTGGGAGAAGAAAAGTGTACGGTCGCTGTTTGTACGTCAGATCAAACAAATAGACCTAAGGAACAAAGAAAGAGAATGAGACAAAAGAGTCAGTGAAACACAGATGTTCAAGCCACAGAAATAAAACAGGGCTAGAGGGGTATAGGGTGCCACATTTGTGTTTTGCTAGTTCCAATTTTCTAACTAAAAATCTTGTTTATAGACAGGTACACACAGGATGACAGCGGTACCAGTGGCACGTTCCATTCCAGCACTGGGTTCAGAGAGAACACTGCCGAGAAATGAGGTGAGAAAGCCCTCTCCACACCTACAGAACTTTAAAAAATAGCCTGACCACAAACTACCCTGTTCAGAAAGCTTCAACTCTAAGACTTTTTAACCACTTCATTAACACACCGATCATAAACAAATCATTTACTGGCAGAAAAGAGGTGATAGCTACATCAAGGTAGAATTTTCTCTACGCTGAAAGCTCAGCCAGGATTTCCTGAGAAACTCCAAAAGCAGCCCTGTGAAGCCCAAATTTCAAACCATACTGGTATAAGGATTACCAGCCCCGATCAGACCTGCAATTCATCTAACTCAGCACCTTCTCTTGAAGGCTGGTATAAGGATTACCAGCCCCGATCAGACTAACTCAGCCCCTTCTCTTGAAGAGAATGAGCACAAGTGTGAGAAAGAGATCTGTGGAGGACAACCACGGAGTAACCTGCCCACAAGCAAAGTTCCCGCTTAATCCACGCTGATTAACGCTGTCAGGAGGATTTTCTCATTTCACTGATAGGCTTTACAAAAGATCCATGAATATCACCCAACGCTTAAAATTAAAGCAATCAATGTTCCAGGTGAAAGCCTTTGCTTCTGTCAGTTCCTTATTTGCTAGATTCTACTACAGAAGCGGTTTGATGTTTCAAGAATGAGTTATGAAATCTTTTCTAGGTCAGCAAAGGTCAGTTCCAGAACTCGGTTGATTTTTCCTCTTCCAGAGAGTGAAATGTGAGTCGGAAAACCAGAATAGAACGTGCTTCAAGTTTGATCAGTGGTAACATAGCAAATAAATCCCTAATGCCAAGCTTTTAGTCCAGACAAATCGGAAAGCAAGTTTAAAATCAACAGTATTACCCACAGAGAAGTCGTTATACCCGTTTTTGAGAATGCACAACAAGGTATGGTGACCCAACCAACACAACCCCACGTGGAGCTTTCTGCCAAACTTCAGCTGCTTTCTCACCTGCTCCCCTCCCATGTTGACTAAGAGCTCAGTGCCATCAGGACTGAAGGTGACATATGTGGCCACCAGAACTCTCAGCCGGTTGTTGTAGTCCGGCAGCTTCACCGGGAGGTGCCCTGTGGAGAGAAGAGGTTCATAAACATCAGCTTTCAAAACAAGCAGTTGTGCACAGCTGCCTTTTCACAAGTTCTAGGTATCAATCGTGCAAGGCCACCTCCACATGAAGAGAAAGCTGGATTCTAATTCACCTGCTAAGAATGAAGTCTGCAGAACCCAGAAAAATCTCAGTTTTAAGGATTCACTGCAGATTTGTCTTCTGTGATTTGTGGCCATCTGCAAACAAACACCTCCATTTTCAACCCTCTCATCAGGTTTCCTTAATAAAGCCCTTAGCACAACCCAACCAAGGCTCCTAAATATTCAGCTCACACACGGGTTCTTTTGCTTCAGACAGCAGATGTGTTGCATGACCAATCCAGGGGACCTAAGAAATCCTCTAGCGGGACTCATCAGAAGCAAGACTGTCAAAACTGGTCTGCTGAACGTGCTGGTCTGAGATATTTAGAAAAAAAAAAACCAACCCAAACATTTGGGGGGAAAAAATAAGATAGTAAATAACGAGCAGTGGAGAAAAATGTCATTGAGATTGCCCAGATACTGCATCGCTGATTCTTCATCTGCAGGATGAGGACAAGCCACTTCCCTTCTGGGCCAAAACCATTTTGAACAGCAGCTTTGCTGGGACCAGTTCCAGGAGAAAGCCTACAGCACCCACGTTACCTAATCCTTGGCTTTCCAATAAAAGTGACAAAATGACATTTACGCTAGACAAGAAGAAGTAAGGCCAGGTCACCACCACACACCACTGCCAAATCAGTGTAACGTAAGGGAGAATTCACAGCATTGAAGTTAATCATCTGCAATTCCATGGAACATCCCTGTATCAGAGGAAATTCAGTGAAATTCAGTGAAATTCCCTTCTGGGCCAAAAAACATTTTGAACAGCAGCTTTGCTGGGACCAGTTCCAGGAGAAAGCCTACAGCACCCACGTTACCTAATCCTTGGCTTTCCAATAAAAGTGACAAAATGACATTTACGCTAGACAAGAAGAAGTAAGGCCAGGTCACCACCACACACCACTGCCAAATCAGTGTAACGTAAGGGAGAATTCACAGCATTGAAGTTAATCATCTGCAATTCCATGGAACATCCCTGTATCAGAGGAGGACTCTTCCAAGGAATGGTTGCTTGTGTGATGAGTAGAATTCCACTTCTCCAGGCCTTTAAGTTAAAGTCCCATCAGTCACCCCCGGCACAGGTCCCGATACCTGCCACGTAGTACTGCGCCGCACCGTCCGGGAGGGGTTTCTGCCGGTCGCAGAACGTGTGTACTCCAGCTGAAGGACTCTGCTTCATGCTTTTCCTAACGAGAAAGAAGAACAGTCTTATAACCCCGGCACTCCACTGCTGGAAGCCTGATCTATGCTGACACTTCTTGTTCACACACAAGGATGAGACCTCGTGCCGATAGAGCTGTGCAGTCACAAGCCTGCCCTGCACTACCCCAACGCGCTCACGCAGATCGGAAAGACTCTGGGTGATAGAAAACACTGGGTAAAACTGCAATGAGGTGAGACAGGAGGGTGCCAGAGAAGAGAAGGCTCCAGGGAGACCTTATAGCAGCCTTCCAGTATGTAATGGGCACCTATGGGAGAGATGGGGAGAGGCTCTTATCACGGAGTGGGGGACAGGATGAAAGGTAATGGTTTTAAACTGGAAGAGGGGAGATTTAGATTAGATATTAGGAGAAATTCTTTGCTGTGAGGGTGGTGAGAGCCTGGTCCAGGTTGCCCAGAGAAGCTGTGGCTGCCCCATCTCTGGAGGGGTTCAAGGCCAGGCTGGAGGGGGCTTGGAGCAACTTGGGCTGGTGGGAGGTGTCCCTGCCCAGGGCAGGTGGCTAGAATGGAATAGAATCATAGAATCATAGAATGGTCTAGGTTGGAAGAGACCCTTGGGATCATCGAGTCCAACCATCTCCCCTACTCTACAAAGTCCTCCCCTACACCATGTCCCTCAGCACTGCATCTAAACGGCCCTTAAACACAGCCAGGGATGGGGACTCCACCCCCTCCCTGGGCAGCCTGTTCCAATGCCCGACCACTCTTTTGGTGAAAAATTCTTTCCTAATGTTCAATCTAAACCCACCCTGTTGGAGCTTGAAGCCGTTCCCTCTCGTTCTGTCACTAATTACCTGTGAGAAGAGACCAGCACCAACCTCTCTACAGTGTCCTTTCACGTAGTTGTAGAGAGTGATGAGCTCTCCCCTCAGCCTCCTCTTCCTCATACTAAATGATGATCTTTAAGGTCCTTTCCAACCCGAACCATTCTATGATTCTATGATCATTGCAACCCCCTCCTCTTCCCTCCAGAGCCTTGAACAGATTTCTGCACTGCTCACACCTGCCCAGAAGCCCCAGTTAACCCGAACCATTCTATGATTCTATGATCATTGCAACCCCCTCCTCTTCCCTCCAGAGCCTTGAACGGATTTCTGCACTGCCCAGAAGCCCCAGTGGCTGTTACCTGTGGTTGTGGATCATGCGTATGTCGTAGAGCCGCACAAAGGGCCCACTCGCCCCTACTGCTAAGTAGTTGTTGTCTTGGGGGTTGACCGTCAGGCATTTAGCCTCCACCAGCTGCCCACAGTACTCTGTCAGGTCTATCAGGACTTCAGAACGTTTGCTGTTCTCTCGGAGATCGTACTGCCTGCAGAGGAAAGAGAGTCAGTGTCAGCAGGTAATGTCAGCAGGTAACAGCAGCAGCAAGAAGAGAGAGGTTAATTTTCCCTGAAGACCAAACTGGAGACTGCTCAAAGCAGCACGTTTATGCTCCTCAGTAGTGACCTACGCTTAATTATCCTGCTTGTGCATGAAGAGATGACGCTAACGACATTAACAGTCATTCCTGCCCCAGGTTACTGGAAGCATCTCAGCTCAATATACACTAGGCCTCAATATCAGGGTAACCATTCAAACCAGCTCTCTAATTGCATGGATTTAATCAAGTTTCAAATTAAACTCCAGGTCGTGATCTCACAAACAGCAGCTCGTATGAAAAGCCTAACAGACCCTCATAGCAACATTACTCATGTAAGAGTCTCAATGATTGTGGAAGGAAGCATTGCTCAGTGGTGTATCTCCCTTCCCTTTGACATGGCTGTTCCTTTCTTGGCCTCCCTTTTCAGTGTGGGGGCAAACAGAGGAGCTGAAGACAGTGTTTATCAGAGGAGTCTACGTTTCAAGATGAATCCTTCCAGTTTCAGGAAAGGAAAAGATTAGTTTAAGCTCTTTAGTACAGAAACAGGCTCTCTTCAGATCTGTGCATAGTACATACTGCCATGGATCCTAATCCAATTAATTTCGGGGCAGAACAACTAGAGTTCTGTACCTGATTAGCCCGTCTTCTGCTGCACTCCAGAAGGTGTTAGGCCACATGGGAGCTGTGGCAATTCGCTTCACCCTGTTGGTGTGATCTCCAAACATGTGGATGGTCTCCTTGACAGTCAAGTCATGGACGTGCACCTTGGAATCTGCAGCTCCCGTGATGAGGATCCGATCCCCTGAATGCGGCAAGAACTGCAGGAGAGAGATTTGATACTCAAACTGGTCACACAGACATCCCTGAGTCCTGGCAGTTTGCTTTTTTAATGCAATTTTTTCTCAATATTAAAAATATTAAATTATTTCGGGAGGGAAAGTGCTTGCAGGAAAAACATTTCCCAGCAAAGATCTATTCTCTTGCTGCTTCGGTTGCTGATTTTGTCAGCCATTTATTCCTTCCAATCCCATACCTTGACAGAAAAGATGTTTGCAGTATGTCCTGTGTGCATCGAAAGGAGTTTCTTGTGGTGCAGAGGATCCCAGACAATGGTATGCTGGTCATCAGAGCCAGAGGCCAGCAAGCTAAAAGAAAGAGAAGAGAAATATGCATCGCGTATTCTTCTGTTCTAAGCTGTGACCAATTTCTTAGAGTAGTCTGACCACAGACAGTCATTAAGTTAATTCAGCTCTAAAAAGCCTACTTCCTCTCGCTCTTTTCTCAACCATGTGTTCTCGTGGCTCCCCCTGCGCCAATCCATTCAGGGAGCTAAAGCAGCCAAATATCAACTCCACAGAAAATAAAGCCATTTGCATTGGTTTAGCTCATGGGACCAGCTCACCACAGATTCAGACGGCGCAGGGGAAAACAATAGGAGCATTTGGTCAACAACAAAATGCAGGGCCTCCCTTTTCCTTTTTAGCCCAGCTGCATTAACGGCTCCACATCATCCCCAAACTCCAAGCCAACATTCATTCCTGGACTTTGGATATGCCCAAGCTGTCCCAAGCCAGGCCCCACGTAGTGATTCACAGGCTGTTTTTTAAGCTTAGGGTGCGGCAGCGGCACGGCAAGGCGGTGTTTGCCTTGTACATCTATCTTCATTTGAAGCGAAAGAATTTGACATCTGCAACCATCAGCTGTTTTAAACTTATTTCCTTGTAGCCAGATCTCTTTCAACTACATGAAATTGTCACTGGTAAATAATTCTGAAGAGTATCAGACAGCAGACTTTGGATCTTGTGAGAGGCACGTCAAGAAATATCGGCTCTTCTTTCCATCCAGCAATTTCTCATGCAGATACTCTTTATTCCACTTGGTTAAGAGAAATGCTCTTATGTTTAGTTTCCCTCTAAAATTGCAGACAGGGGTAAATGCCCTACACCTTTCTCCCTTATGTATCTGCCCACCAGCAGTAGCTTTTAACAGCAGGGTGAAGGGGGTGGGGAAATGTCACTACCAGCTGGGCAAATCCTAAAGATCCATTTTAATCCATAATACCACTTAAGAGAGGAGAAGCAGCCTTCAATCTCTACTTCTTAGTCTGGCCGTTTCCCTTCTGAACTCTACCAAAGGGGCATTCCTAATAATATGCAGACATATTTAACATAATAAAGCTCCTTTTGAAGCGTGAGCTCTACTACAGTCCAAAACTTTGAGCAGGAGCCCCACTTTACTGGGAATGAGAAGCAGCTCCTGATGATAAAGTGATCTACATCCTCCTCTTGGGAGCACCTGGGGTTATCAGTTTGTTGATCCCCCCCGAAATCAAGCCCCATACTTACTCTCCTTTTTCATTCCATTCTAGACAGTTGACACACCCTGAGTGACCCTGAGAAAAATAAAAATAAATAATAAAAAAAAGGAAAGCAGTATTGCACAAACTTCAGACTTATCAAACAGAGCTGTTCTAAGACAAGGACACAACGAGCTCCCCACACATAACAACTTGTTCCAAGGGGGTTTTTTTTATTCCAACTGTGTTAAAAAAAAAAAAAAAAGAAAGAAAAAGCCACCCACATGGCAGATAAGCACCTCCAGAAAAGAGAGACGTGCTATAGCAGTTGGGGTAGAAAAGGCAAAATGAAACAAATAAAGAAAAATGTAGTGTTGAATAAAATGGCAGTTTAGTCTCAGAGGCTACAGCTGAAATCCTGCTGTACACAGGGAAAGGTGACTTTGCTTCAGAAGCCCTTGGCTAGGCTGACAAATTACATGTACAGGTTCTCTGGGAACGCAGGGAAAATGCACTTTTGATAACTCTTTTAGAAGCACCTTGCTGCTGGGTGACTACATCATCCATCTTCATCCAAATTAACTAACAACTCTACCAGAAAAGACTAGGGGAGCACCGAGCAGCGTTTGATAGGGGAGATGCGGTTGAAAAAAGGGGACAAAAGAATCCTTTCCTCCCCTAAACCAAGACGATCTTGAGATCTTTTTAAGCTGTGTCAGACTGCAATATAATAACCTATTTTTTAGGCAACACGTTATACTCTTGAACAGAGTATCTTGAATATCTTGAACGGTTGACAGTTGCCTTCTTCAGGATTAGCTGATCCACGCTCGTTAAAGGCTCTCTTGTAGGTGCATTAGGTAACACAGAAAGCTCCCGCAAGATCTCACTGAGCTATTCCTGGCTCTAATGCAGTCCAGGGGACTAAGCAATCGGTATCCATCCCATACAAGAGAGAGAATTCCATACGCTCCTACCAGCTGGCCTTTCTGGGGGAAGCTGTACAAGGTGCAGCTTGGTTTGCTCGTTAAACGTTGCCCACTTACCTGCAATTCTGCTTCCAGGCCCAGGCGGCGAATGAACGGGTCGGTGACGTGGTAGTGTCGTTCAAAGCCCAGTGCACCCCTCTCCTGCACAAAGCAAACGAGCACCACACTGACTACAGCAAAAAAACACCACTCCTTTTTCCCTTTAGAATCATAGAATCGTAGAATGGTCTAGGTTGGAAGAGACCCTTGGGATCATCGAGTCCAACCATCTCCCCTACTCTACAAGGTCATCCCCTACACCATGTCCCTCAGCACTGCATCTAAACGGCCCTTAAACACAGCCAGGGATGGGGACTCCACCCCCTCCCTGGGCAGCCTCTTCCAATTTTTCGGTGAAAAATTCTTTCTTAATGTTCAATCTAAACCCACCCTGTTGGAGCTTGAAGCCGTTCCCTCTCGTTCTGTCACTAATTACCTGTGAGAAGAGACCAGCACCAACCTCTCTACAGTGTCCTTTCAAGTAGTTGTAGAGAGTGATGAGCTCTCCCCTCAGCCTCCTCTTCCTCACACTAAACAGCCCCAACTCCCTCAGCCGCTCCTCATACGATTTGTTTTCCAGCCCCCTCACCAGCTTCGTTGCCCTCCTCTGCACTCGCTCCAGCACCTCGAGATCTCTCTTGTGTTGAGGTGCCCAAAACTGGACACAATACTCGAGCTGTGGCCTCACCAGTGCTGAGTACAGGGGCACAATCACCTCCCTACTTCTGCTGGTCACACTATTTTTGATACAGAGAACATTCATGAACCTTAAAAATCAAGCAGGGACCTTGCCAGGTATTGGGGTGTCCGTAACATCAGGTACCTGTTCTGTAGTAGGGAGACATCATTTGCATCATCTCCAGGCAGGCAGTTTGTAAACCCTGCCCCTGAACTGGTTTTAAATGATGTTTATCTAGTTGCCAGGCTCCAGCTGGGCAACCAAGACAAGGTTTGAGAAGCCCACACTAAGCCAGAATAAGTTGCCTACTTTGGGCCAGAAAGAGGAAACAGCAAAGAGCTTGGGAACATCTGTCATTATCCCTTGGCAAGGATTTCAGGAGAAGTCTTTTTTTTACACAGGGTCTGTCCTGAAGCACCACCACCACCATGGGGCAAAGTAGTGGGGAATGTAACTGGGCAGTGTCCTTTAGAGATGGCTTATTTCATCAGAAAGGGAGCAGGAGCAGGAGGCTGCAGCACCACAGCGCAGCCTGTTCTACAGGGAAGGGAACAGCTGCCACAGAACTGCGTCAGTACAAATGAAGGTGAAGAAAAGCAGGACAGTTGTTTCCCCTGCGATCTCACGGGGCTCGCAGATGCATTAGCAGATGGCTTCGATGAAAGAAGGCCAACTGCAAAGGCAGGCCCGAAGGAAGGGGAATGCAAGTCATATTTTGGATGGAACATCTAATACCCAAGGAGATTCCTTCCTAGGACCTGATCCAGCCCCGCTCCCGTCCCGTGCCACGCTATCGTCAGGCGAAGACAACGTAAACCTTCGTTACCCCCCATTTATAGATGAGAAGCCTGATGTTAAAAACAACACTGATGGTACCAGGAACACATTAGTAGCCACAGAGCAGACACAAAGAACTAGCATGACATCACAGCTCTGCAGACCAGCGTTAAGGAATGAGCTCCACACAGCAAAAGCTATTTGAAAACAGGAAAACCAAACCAAAATGGGCTTTTTTGGAGTAACCTCTGCTACAAACTTCAAACCCTTGACATATTTTTATGGATAGCGCTCCCAAAACGCTACTCAGCCCAGTGCAAGGTGGTGCAGTTATAATTGCCTTGCAATTGCAACCCGGGTGGCTTTGTGAGGTCTGGGCACTAGGATATTGCTTTTCCTACGGAGGAACTGTCAGACGTAGCAACCTTCCCGAGGTCACACATGAAAGTCTAACAGAGCAGACAGCGTGAAAAAGTCCCAGGCGAACGTTCTAACCACAGACCCAGCCCTTCCTCGTTAGAGCAGCAAAATATGTCATGGCACATGGCTTAAATTACAAGCTTAATATACAAAGTTTGGTACCAAACTGCAAAGCAAAGTGAGCGTTCAAGCTCTTAGTTCCTTATTCTGGCCACTAACAGACGACTTTCGTGAATGCTGATTACCAGCAAAGCTGCAAATGATTTTTTAAGGCTTCCAAGTCCAAGTAATAATTGCCTATTGTGTCTGCTGTAGCTAGTCCTTTCACGTTACAAGATATTTCACAAATGCAGCCATCAGATGACTGATTCGACCACCGTGGAAGTTTTTCTCTTACACAAAGGCAGCAACACACCAGTCTTTAAAGAAAAAGAAACAGAAAGAGACCGAGACAGAGATCATTAGCTTCACTACAGACAGAAAATACCTTTGATGGCGAGATCATACGAAGAGAACACATAAAGCAGCAGACAGAAAACTCGTGGGGGAAGCCAGCTAAGGGTCCTTTATGGTGCCCAAACACAAGCAGTCTGATTTCTCTCTTCAACGTTGTGCTCAAAAGGAACAGACCGGCTGATGTCAAACCAGCCTGGTGCGTTCCTGCCAGGGAGGAGAACTCTATTCCTGTTACACCACACTTCACCCCAGCTCCTCATTAAGGATAGTGATAGGTCCTATGTGTTTATTCTCTTCTCTTATACAGTTTATCAATACATAAGTAACAGAGATCTTTTCAGAAGGAAAAGGCAACACCATGAGTATTTCCCAATCCAGCGTGAACGCCGATTCTCCACCCAACACAAGGGAACTCTTGGCTAACACATACCTTGATCTGCCTGTGGATGATGTCTCTGGTAATGTTTGCTTTCGCCATCTTCTTGCAATGGGGCAGACGAAAAGAAGCTATGGGAAGAGCCGCTGTGCATCCAAGCATGCCAACAGAGCAGGGATCCACACTAAGGGCATTTAATTACCTGCAGGACAGAACAGGGAGGGAACAAAGGCAGGTATACAAACACATTAGGCCAATCGTAAACAATATTGTCATTTTTTTTTTTTCCCTAAAAAAGAACTGAAAAGCTTTGTACAAAGGTCCCTTGAAGAAATTCAAGCATGGGAAGGAACAATGTGAGCCTGAAGAACACCTGACTTAAGAGGCCATCCACATTTTACAGAGAAATTCGCAACGAGCAGGACTACATCAGCCTAGCAAAGCCATGTTTCTATGCCAACAGAGACCCTGCAAGGCCAGGGTGACATCCCGTGTCACAGCTTGTCTCTCACCATTACACGTCCACTCATGTCCAATGTCACCTTCCCCAAACTCCACAACCAACAAGACTTATTGTATCATGAACAAACAAAGCATCGATATTCTCGGCCACCTCTTTTCTCTCAGTTACTGCATTTGATCATCAGCCAAGAAAACAAAACAAAACAAAACCACTTTTCCTTAGAAATCACAACAGCCAACCATCAGGTGACACTATCATCCAAACACCCAACCACGATGGCAATACAAAAAGGGTAATCATTTAAAATTGCATTTCCAGGAGAAGTTACGAGTTTTCCCCAGTCTTAATGGAGTTCCATATTTAATGCACTAACCTAAATAATTTAAACCCCATAAAATCAACTACATCTACTAGAAAACATTCAAATAACAGAGCAATTGTCACAACCCCACTCCGGACAGGCTGCCTAGTCAGGCTCTGAGAAATGATGTCATTCATTTCATTTACATACTGCAGTCCCATTTGGATATTTCTGCCGTTCTCTTCAAAAAATAAATCGAAATTAAAAAAGTAAACACCCATTTTGTTCTATGTAACCCAACAGTTAAATTCTCTTTGAAAGCATTCACAGGCAGAACAAGCCAAAATTTCCAAAGGAGTCCTCCTTTGAATGAGGAAATGCTGATTCACTGAAACAAGAAGGTTTCACAGAAACGCAGCAACAAATAACGCCGCTGAGGTCAGGCAGAAGTTTTGACAAAATCTGCCTGATTCTCTGCTGGTTCATCTCTCAAGTTGCTGCAAAGCCAGGATTTTGACTTTTACCGACTTCGGGGCCACTACACAGCAAAACCACGAGGCTCCTGCACCCCGGGATCCCCAAAGCCCTGGTCTTCAGCTTCAATTTGATTTCAAAAAATTATTAGCGTCCCCACGGGTAGGAAGTACCAAGGATTTATGTTTCTTCACAGAAAGCAGAGTTTGGACAAAGTGGACATTTGGATTGCTTTCCTAACACAGCTGGCTCCTCCGTGCAGCTCCACGGTGAACACAGCAACGTCATTAGACCTACAGACAGGTAGAAAAGCCATACAGATAGAACGAAAATTGGATTTTTTTTGCCATGGAAAGGCAGGATTTTTCGGGTAGCCATAGGATTTCTCCAATACAACACTGAGAGAAAAGGCGCAGCTGTTTGTAGGAGTCTGAAGATGAACATCCCTACTGCAGAGGGCAGAAGACCTTCACAGTTGTATTCCAGGTCTGTTTTGTACTGGTGAGGAGAATAAAACTGATACAATCCCCACAGGGAGAGCACAGGCCTTGAACACAAGGTGAGGCAGGAGGATGGGAGGACTTTGTACATCAAATCTGCTCCCAGTCTGTGCCCAGTGAGGGCTAACAAGGCCGTACTTTCCCCAGGACCAGCCCAGATGGACATAAAGTAGCCCAAACTCACCACCCTCCAAGTCCTGTTTCTGCAGCAGATGTGTCCAATAAGGCAACATCCTCTGCCACACGTCTCCAGTTCACCATGGCAGAAGAAGCCCAACTCATCCCCAGATGTTGGAGCAACCAGCTGAGATTTTTTGAACACCATCACCTGTTTCAGCGCACAAATTGGGGCTCCCCTAGAACTTGGCTCAGCCTGAAGCTGAGCGAGGGTGTATGCATTTGTTCATCATGCATGTAATTTAATCCACATTCCTTTTACTCCAGTTGTACCACCAGGAAAGCATTCCCAGGAGGACACCTCATGTTTTAAGCATCTTTAACCTTACTCACTCACTCTCATGTTAAGTAATACTCGCTTCACTCCCAGGCTTAATAGCAAGAGGCAGCACCATGACTGCATCCGATCATCAATATTTCACACTAATTCTTGTAGTAGGACAATCAAGCCACTGAATTTTGATACCTAACCTCTGGCTTTCTACATGAGCTTAGTGTAGCTATTGTTTTGCCTGTTTATGGAGACGGCCTCTCTAAGTGGACAACAACAACAACCACCCTTATGAGCAGCTCATGGGATGGAGAGGAAGCAGGGACCTGCAGCAAAGCACCTCAGCACAAGGGCAGGTGGATCCTGCTGACTCTGCAGCCCAGAGGTAAACATGGGAAACCAGGATAGACCTGTCACCACTTGTGCCCAAGGCCAGCTCTACAGAAAACATGCCAGCTGGGCTAAATAAGCTACATTGCTGAAGACACTGTGCCATGAGGACGCGGTTTCCAGACACACTTTGCTGCTAAGCTCTGCAAGCAGGGTGAATCACAGAATGCTATGGGGTTGGAAGGGACCTCTGGAGATCATCTCCTCCAACCCCCTGCCAGAGAAGGTCCACCCAGAGCAGGTCGCACAGGAACGTGTCCAGGTGGGGTTTGAATGTGTCCAGAGAAGGAGACTCCACCACCTCTCTGGGCAGCCTCTGCCAGGGCTCTGCCACCCTCAAAGTGAAGAAGTTCCTCCTCATGTTGAGATGGAACTTCTTATGTTCAAGTTTGTACCCATCACCTCTTGTCCTGTCGCTGGGCACCGCTGAAAAAAGCCTGGCCCCATCTTCCTGACACCCACCCTTGAAGTATTTATAGGCATTGATCAGATCCCCCCTCAGCCTTCTCTTCTCCAGACTAAAAAGACCCAAGTCCTTCAGCCTTTCCTCATCAGAGAGATGCTCCAGGCCCCTCATCATCTTTGTAGCCCTAAGAGAAGAGAGCTGCAAACTCAAAAAGCAGCTCCAAGTTTGGACAGACTAAACAGGCAGGGATGAACCGTATCTGTCATCTCTCTCCTCCAGTTTCTCCAGACGCCCTTTCCAGCTAACAAGCCTCCACCTGCCCTTCTTCTCCGAGGCTTCCTCCAGTTTCTCCAGACGCCCTTTCCAGCTAACAAGCCTCCACCTGCCCTTCTCTGAGGCCGGATCCCCACAGACTGGCCTCCTTTAAACAAATCCTCCAGGACAGGCAAGTGTTTTCTCCATCCATCCATAGCTGCAACAGGGCAGAGAGACCTTCTGTGGCTCCTCAACGCCTCGGCAGCTCACCCCTCAGGCGAGGGACTCTGGTACGCGCTGTACAAAACCCGAGATTTTCTCACCTCTGAGATTATATCCTGAGGCTCCCCTCCACTTTCCTCCTCCTCTTCCTCCTCCGTGTAGCCCTATGAAACACACCAGCTACCCGACCTCGCACAGCACTTTTCTGCAGGAACCTGGGACCAATGACTGACGACAGTTAAACACTTTTTCCAGAGAAGCGAATAATTCTTTAACCCAAAGTACATCACGAAGAGACACAAGGGACGATATTCCAGCAGATCTCAGCACCTCATCTGCAGCTTCCCACTCCTCTTAGTGCTTCCCTGTAACGTTCCCAGACTCTGTCTGCAATCCCCCCTCTCCAAGTGGCACCCGGCTAACTCTTCCTCTTCCCTGCCAGGCAGGGACAGCTTGTCTTCCTCTTTAAGAGCACTTTAGTTTTCTTTTCACCTTAGGACCCAAAAAGAGGCCTAATACCACACCAGAGCCAAGCAGGCACTCACCTCCCAACTCACAAACGCCCCACTGCTCCCTTAAAACCCCTGGAAGTATTTTTGTCTGATTTCCTACCTCTAGTCACGGCTTATTTCTAAACAGCTCCTTTTTATTCAACTCCTGTCTAGCAAGAAATGACACCAGATGACCTGAAGGACACACATGGAGAAATGCGTGTTCATGGAAAGACAGATCTCCCATACTCTACAAAAATAAATAACCCGTAGCAAAAAGCCAGTTTACTGCTAAATAAATTACTGCAAAAACCACTAATACACTAAAAAGCCACACTATAAATCCCTCTTTGACTGTATGAATAGGATGCTTAGAAGGAACAAACATCCAACCCCCTCCAAAACCTACCACTTCTTAAGAGAGACTCAAATTCTTTCATTCTCCAACAAAGTCTCCTCTGCCACAGCATTTTACATCACCTGGAGCTCTGAAACACACCCTGGCTGGAACAGGGCAGCAATATATATAGGAGTGTTTTTAGGATTACTGGTGTGTTGTGGAGCTTCCCAACCCTCTGGCTGGGTCATTGTCAGAAGTGTTCACAACACATTGTCGTTCAGCAGCTCTCAACAAGAGATCAACACACCTTAACTTTATTTCTTGAAAGATACGGGTCAAGAAAATCATCCATGAAATCAGCCCTTTGGTTGACCACGTGGAATAAACCAGAATTTAAAACAAAACTCCCGATGCAAAACTGACTTTAAAGATAGTAATCCCAGTATCCAAGGCTACGTTAGCAAATTGTTCAGTGCTTGGCACACCTGAGCATTTGATCATTAAAAGAAAAGGACAGGCTTGGAAAAGAACAGTCAAATGGGAATACATGAGCCTAAGGTGCCTCTCTTGCCTAGACCAGGCTTGATTTGGCGACTGAATATTGTAAAATGCTTAAAGGCTTCCCTGAACACACATATATGCTTGGCCAAGGAGACTTTAAGAGCCTTTCTTGCTTTCACGATGTTATTTTTTTGTTGCTCAACAGGTATTCCACTGCAAAGGCTTTGGCAACCTGAAATTATCATGGAATCACAGACGAAGCATTAAGAAGGCTCAGATCCTCATTCCAGGTCAGACGTTGTCCACTAACCACAACTGGTCACATTCCCAGCCTCACGTTCACCACCAACATGACAGTTACCTACTTTGAGTTAAAACGTGTGGAGCTTCTACTATGAAACAAGTATTAAGTGCTCTTAACATTAAAGATTATATTG